AGAAATGGCTGAGGAGTCGTGGGGGGAGATCATGTTTCCTTATGTAGTTCAGGCACGAACGCAGGGGATTATGGGTTATGGGGAGGGGGGGGGGGGCTATCTGTTCCTGAATCTGACAAAAGATTATTCCTTTCAGAGCCCCTCCCAGCTATTCCCATAAAGAAAATGTATCAGAAAAGAAAGATGCTTTTTAATTCTTAACTTATTGATTATTAATATGTGAGGCATCGTGGTGAAATCAGGCACTCGTCAAAATACTGAAATCGAAGAGACCGGCATTTTTCTGCTGGTTGGGCAATTTTTATCGAAATTTTGTTTTTTTGGCTCAACACCTTTCATGTCCATTGGAGAACACATTTCTGTGTGAATTTTACTGAAAAGCGTAAAAAAAAAAAACGTTTTCAGTTTCCACGGACTCTCAAGCTAAGGAAATAACTAAACTTTGGTGGTCATTTTCTTACTAATTTTACCTTCGAAACCAGGTGACCCCACCTCCTTTAATCGCCGATTTCTCGACTTTGCTTTTTTTGTTATAGTAGTTTTTTACGGCGCTCGTACTATGTTATTACACAAGGTCATGTGAGCGCCAAGGGGTGCAAGTCAATAGAGAAATCCAAACGGGGAATCAGGCTTTTTCTGCTCACCCCTCTAGCCTCAACAGCACAAAGTCTGCTTCGACTATCAAGGCACCTCGAAAATAGCAGTTCACAAGAGAGTGACAAACATACAAAAGAAGGAGAGGGAAAAAGACGATACGAGTAGTGAGGCGAGTAGTGAGGGTAAGGACGAGAAAAGCAGCAGTTCCCCCTATGTTGTTCCGGCACAGTATGAGCATGACATTAATAAATTAGTCCATTTACAATTCTACTGTGCCTAAGAACATGTTAATATCTCCCCCCCCCCCCCTTTGGGAATGGCATAAAGACACTTCAGTCAGTAGCACTCGGGACCCGAGTTGAAATCTACTGATAAACCCCTTTCCTACCTAAACTTCTCGCACAGATTAACTGAAGTAGGAAAAAAATGTTGAAGACAGCGAGCTGGTCAGCAAATTAATCCAATTGGTGACCGGCCCGAATTGGCATGATCGGATAGCATAATAGCATGTGATCAGGCGGTCATTGGAGACAGTTAGATTTCCTGTGTTGAGGCAGACAGGCAATTCTTATGGCTTGTGGTGGTTGGCTGGGGGGAGAGATGAGTTGGGTACCATGCTTACTTTTGGCGGAGGTGGGATCACATCATGTACTCACGTTTTACGGCACTAACAACACAATAAGGTCATATAAGTGCCGCAGAATACAGGTGTTTGATAGGAAAGAAGGAGTAAACCACACCAGGCAGAGCACCCGCCAACCACCCACCAAAATATGAAGAGACAAGCTACTAACAATAAAAACAAGAAAAACGAGGAGTAAATTATATAATTATAGTACTTTATTAACCTTCCAAAAGTTTAAGAACAAGTTCAAATCTCACATCAACCACAACGACCCAGGCAAACACAATACCCAAACCTGTTCTGACGGCAACCTTTCTAAGACTGTCCCCGTCGTTTTATGCAAGAAAAATTCTGAAATTATGCAAGCTGAGCCCAAAAATGTGAAATCATGCGATTCTGTTTTTTTTAAAACAAAGAATGATAAAGGAAAATAATCAGAAATTATGTAAAAAATTATCAAATTTTGCTAAATTATACGGGGTGCATAAAATCACGGTGACATCAAAGACAACCACTTGAACAAACGTCCAGTCCCCCCCCCGTTCCCTATTATACCACCAGCCCCCCCTCCCTTCACGCTAAAACGACACTGTCCAAGAAACCCACCTGTCTAAAACAACTACTGTTCTCTCCCCAAAAAGGGTGGCCGTCCAGGACAATTTCAACAGTATTTCTTCCCGGATCTTTCAATAAACAGTTCTGATCTCTGTTATTGACACAGTCAGTCACAGAAAATTCAAACACACCAGGGATTGACACATGACATGAGTTCCTCGCATCCATCACTCGGGGGTACACACCAGTAGTGAAACATTACAGAGATATCAGTCAAGGAATGGCAAACAGCAGTGAGATAAACACCAGATATGGTCGTTTTTAAGGACAAGCGGGCAAACCCATATTTCGGGGGGTTTCCAGAAATCTTGACCTACACCAAAAGTGGGAAATGCCCTACCTATAGGAAAAGTTTGGTTTCGTTGACGTGTATATTTGTTTAGTTATAGAGAAAACTTTCCTTGTCTTTTAAAGAAACTGAACAAGGGTCAAAAACTATGATTTCGATTTTCTCAAAACAACAGTTTTCGGGATAGCCGAACAGCCTCATTTTGCTTAAAAGCGACCATATAAAACTGCACAGAAAACTTTTACATTTAAACTTTTGACATTCTGTAAAAATAAAACTTCTCCCACCAACTTACATTACACACTTCCTCCATACATCATCAATGTACATAGGGACAGTCATTACGACCATTTCCACGTTAGTTTCATGGTAGCTTTCTCACACACACTCCAAAAAAAACTGTACACTTCATGACTTTCAAATCTCAGAAAAAATAACGAATTTAATTATAGTACAACTAATTTTACTATCTACAGTTGTATTTACTACTAGGCCTTAGTTTTGTCACTCAAAAATTTCATAATGGTAGAAAGAAAGAAACCTCAGAGATATCACACGTGTTAAGTCAGTTGTAGACGGTGCACTGTTGGACGGGAGACAGAAAGTCTTCCCCGCGACTGACAGCAAACTTTTTTTTCTCTTTTAACGTACAAGCCCTTTAATTTTTACATTTTGTGGGGTTATAAAAGTTGATGATCATCATCATCATGAAGATGAAAAAGAAAAAAAAAGGAAAAGAAACAGG